ACCCAAGCACAGAAGCCAACAAGACTTCCCCAAGTGCTACATTTCACACGAAGAACACATTTGACATATGATAGGAGTTACTGAATACATGTAAATAAAAATGTATAGAAAAACTTACCATTGTATGTTTCATCCGGGTCACCTGGCCTGAAATGAGTGGAGAAAGTTTGGTAAATATTTCCCATAAAGAAATGCATTTGTCAAATAGTCACCTCAATATTTAGCAGGCTGTTGAAAACAAAAATCAGAGGGCTACCAAATTAACATCAAAAGAGCCCCTCCTCTTCACATATACACATGCTTATGCCTGGATTAGTCTAAAGAGATATATGTGGTACAGTAAACATTCCCGTCAGTCATCTACTCAACCATATTCTAACCAACCAGGAGGCCATGTCGAAAACGAGCTGCAAAGTTTAAAAACACCTCCCACAGGGCACTGGTTCATGTTATGTGACCCAATGCTGCATCAGCCTTGTAGAGAAGTGCCAGCTTCAGAATCCTCCATAGGTGTACTCCCAATGCAGAGTTGATGCAGGTCATGACCGAGGGAGTAGCAGTGTGATGTCTCTTAAAAACCACAGCAAATACAAATGATTTTTTAGCTACCCGCCTTCTTACTGCTCAGGGCACACCTGAATTCTCTTAGGTAGTTTGCATTGGAAAATATACCCAGTCTACATGGCTATCAGGTGTAAAATTTACAAGCCATTATGTAACCCCAAGGGCTAGTTCACATCAGATGCAGTTGTGATTCAGTCTGTTCAGTTTGGCAGATGCATCAAAATCACGTCACAATGATGTCCTATGGGATTTATGGTGCCCTGTTCACACCAGTGCAGTCCGTTGTGATGCAGTCAGAACAAAATACTGCTGGCCTCATTTTAGCTTCACCGGATCGCAACTGAACGCATGCAAATGCATCGGAACACATCCAAAATGACACAAAAGGAAGCATGGCTGAGCTACAAGTTGACTCAAAACAAGTAAGGAAGTGACAATGGTCTCATTTTCATTTGAGGTTTAAAAAAACCAAAACAAAAATTGCACCAGAACGTGTCAAAACACACATCACATTGCAGCTGCACAGACGCACGCAGTTCTGGTGTGAACCATCCCTAAAACCTGTGATGATCAGTGTCAGATTGGGAGACATGCATATGCATAATTAAGAAGTTCAAATACAGATACTTTTCCATCTCCAGGACTAGACTAGAGAAAAAAAATCAAATGTTAGGAGGCAGCTGTCATTTGTAAGGAGCACACGGAGCTCCTGGGATTTGCACATCTCTGTTTTAATGTATGAAAAAAATATAGATCACCAATACCATTCTTACAAGTACCGATACTTGTCCAAGTTGGAAGATTTCTCAATCATTTTGACAGACCTACACACCACTGCGTACAGAAATACACAATTATACAGTTCAAATGTGTGACTCTTAACAGACCACTTGCTATTGCCTTTTTACATGGTGTGTGACAAGGAGCAAAAAAGGACATTTCAGAAACACTGAGTACAGAGAAAAAGGCAGTGGGGATGTGTGGCGCAGTACAGCCATGTCCACAAACTTCAGCAGACAAGCTGGGCTCCATGCACGCATCTCATAATTCACTTCTTGAACTATGACAACTGCATTGGATGTATTTTGACAGCAGTTGTATTATTCCAGTGAGTCTTCAACTCTTGAAATCAATTATGGTATTCTTCAATGCTACAAGCATATTTTTCACCTTAAGACACATCATGTTCACTTGATAACAAATCCAGAATTTATGTTATGTGAAATATAATGATTTCTAGAAAATATTCAGGATATCTAAAAAAAAAAAAATAAAAAAAAAAAAAAAAAAA